GGCTCAGTGGTAGAGCGCTTGCCTTGCATGCCTGAGGCCCTGGGTTCAATTCCTCAGCACCACATAAGCAAAAAGAAAAAAGCCGGAAGTGGCGTTGTGGCTCAAGTGGTAGAGCGCTCGCCTTGAGCTGAAGAGCTGAGGGACAGAGCCCAGGCCCAGAGTTCAGGCCCCATGACCGGACCTCCCCCCCAATATATATATATATGTCTTCAAATACCATCCTGGAACCCTGTGATTGGCCAATGGGCTTTGGAGGTGGAGGGCAATCTCATGCTCTGAGCATGGTCTCATGTTCTTCATTCTTGCTGGTTTGCTTTCTAGTCTCTGACAGAAATTAGTTCAGCTAAAAATGTAGTAGTTAAGCACCAGTGGCTCATGCCTGTAATCCTAGCTACTCAGGGGGTTGAGATCTGAGGATCACAGTTTGAAGCCAGCCTGGGCAGGAAAGTCCATGAGACTCTTGTCTCCAATGAACTCCCAGAAAACCAGAAATGGTGCTGTGGCTCAAAGTGGTAGAGTGCTAGCCTCGAGCACAAAAGCTCAGAGACAGCGCCCAGTCCCTGAGTTCAATTCCCATGACCAATAACAACAACAAAAGAAGATTCTAGGGGCTGGGAAGGTGGCTTAGTGGTAGAGTGCTTGCCTTGCATGCATGAGGCCCTGGGTTCGATTCCTCAGCACCACATAAGCAGAAAAAGCTGGAAGTGGTGCTGTAGCTCAAGTGGTAGAGCACCAGCCTTGAGCTGAAGAGCTGAGGGACAGTGCCCAGACCCAGAGTTTCAGGCACCATGACTGGCAAAAAAGAAGAAGAAGATTCTATGGTTGTTAGAGGGAAAGTTGGGATTTTGTGAGCCCAGGGCCTAGGTTCTGTGGGCTGGGTCTCTCTATCACCACACTTCCCCTCCATAGAGATCCCAGCGCTGAGTCCTATGGAGGTTCAGGAAGGAGGGATGGGAGTCGGGAAGGGCCAGAGGAAAAGGATATCAAGTCATTCATACAGGTCAGATACCCATGTGACCCTGGAAAGATTCTGGTTTTCCTGGTTTTCACACTGGGAATGGATCAGCTATAGTTCCCGGCTAGGGAAGGGACATCCCCCACTAAGCCCAGCTCACCGAGTATTTATATAACCACTGGAATTGCTGAGTCCATTTAAAATCAATTTCTGTCCATCTGGAGTAGATTTAAGAGATGAGGGAAAAGTAAATCTGCAAATATATGGGCTAGCCCTGAGTGGCGGCGTCCTTCAGGCTGTGGGCTTTCGAAGCTCAGAGGTTGTTTCCCGCTGAACTTTGGGTAGAAAAGGACCCAGAACAGCAGGCTGGGAAAAGGGGCAATGGCAGTTGTCCCTTGGCAGCCACCATGGTCACAGCAGCTGTACTGTCCCCATCTTCTCCAGAAAGGAGCTCAGGGAGCTGGAGATTTGACTCAAGTGATAGGGCTCTGGCCTTGAGCAATTATTGCTAAGCAAGAGCTTGAAGCCCTGAGTTCAAGTCCCAGTGCTGGCATACCAACAACAACAAAAACAGAAAAGAGGACGGAGCTCAGGCCCAGAGGTCATCATTGAGCTAGTAGGTTGTTTTTTCTCTGTCATCTGCTTCCCCTTCTTTAGAAACCCACAGATTCCATACTTGGAGGTCAGGCTGGGCTCTGGGTCCTCAGAAGTGTCCTGATTTCGCTGTTCCCAAACCCCATGCAGGGAGAGGCGTCCGGCTCTACTACATCGGAGGGGAGGTGTTTGCTGAGTGTCTCAGCGACAGCGCCATCTTCGTCCAGTCTCCCAACTGTAACCAGCGCTACGGCTGGCACCCAGCCACTGTCTGCAAGATCCCCCCAGGTAAGCCCCTCCCCCAGGGGGTCTTCACCTCGGAGCATGTGGCTGAGGTGCTGAGAGAGCCCTTCTCTCTGCCTTTCCTCCTTACCGTGTTGGCATTGTTAGTTGGGTTTTCTCTGTGCCCATCTACCTGAACCTTCAGGGGGAAAGGGCAGTGTCCAACAGCCCGCCTTTAACCTGGGCACCTGCCTGCTGTGCTAGGTATGTAGCTGACGGCCTGCCTTCCTTCCACCCTCCCTTCCTTCTTCCTCTTTCCTTTCCCTCAGCTCTTCCCACAAACATACATGGCATGTGGGTCCGTGCCAGGTACTGGAGAGGTGGAGGAAGGCATGTTTCCATCCTCATGGATGGAAACCCTACCTCTGAGGTAGGGTAAAAGAAAAAGACAAGCTGGTGGCTCATGCCTGTCATTCTGACTCCTCAAGAGGCCTCTGAGGAGGCCAACTTCAGCAGGAAAGTCTGTCAGACTCTTATCTCCAATTCGCTAGCAAAAACTGGAAGTGAAGCTGTGTGTGGCTCACATGGTGGAGCACTAGCCTTGAGTGCAAAAGCTAAGGGACAGTGCTTAAGCTCTGAGTTCAAGCCCCAGTACACACACACACACACACACACACACACACACACACACGCACACGGTGAGAAGCTGAGCCAAGAGGGCACTTCTTACTGGGGATAGCCTGGGAAAGCTTCCATGAGGAGGAGGAGGAGGAGTCAATGAAGGCATTAGACAGACACAGCATGGCAAAGGTGTGAAGTAAGAACATGGCAGGACCAGGTGAAAGACAGGAGGACCTGAGAAAGTTTTGGTTTTATCTTGGTGGAACGTTACGAGTTTTCTGAGTGAGGCTAACTCAACCCACCTGGTCTCCAAGAACATATGTCAGGTGGAGCCCAATATGTAGTTGGCACATGCCTGGGCCTAAATAGCACAGTTAAGCAGGAGGCTCCCCCAGCCAGAGCCCATTGTCCTGTGACATGCGCTCCCAGAATGTAGTCTTGTAACTGGCCTGACAGGTAGCATGGCCAGGCCAGGACACAGCCCACACCTCTTCTCCCGCTCACGGAGTGGCAGGTGACTGGGCAGGGTAAACTTCAAAACACAGACAATCCCAAACCACAGCAGTGTTCCAGGCTTCTTCAGTGTGTTGTAGTTTGTATTTACAAAAAGACATTTATGTCATTGATTGCATTTACTTCTCTCCAGCTGCACTGGTTCTGCAGTAGAGACATTAAGGAAACAAATTCTGAGTGGTGGGCTGGGAAGGTGGCTCAGTGGTAGAGCACTTGCCTTGCATGCCTGAGGCCCTGGGTTCGATTCCTCAGCACCACATAAGCAAAAAGAAAAAAGCCGGAAGTGGCGCTGTGGCTCAAGTGGTAGAGCACTAGCCTTGAGCTGAAGAGCTGAGGGACAGCGCCCAGGCCCAGAGTTCTGGCCTCACAACCGGACCCAAAAAAAAAAAAAATTCTGAGTGGTTAAGCTGTGTGCCCAAGGACACACAGCAAGTGGCCAGGGCAGTGAAGAGCCTGGACTGAATGACTTGTGTAGTGTTCCTCTACTTCTTGGCTTTGCCAGCGGATCTGGCAAAGTTTGGACCTGGCTCCACCACACTTCCGGGGGAAGAGAGGAGCGGAAGCATACTTGTAATCTTGGCCCTCTGCTTGCTGTTTGGTGAGGACTGAGCGGACTCTGGTGGCATTTGTCAGATCAGAGTCATGGAACTGGGGTGGCCAGTCCATCTTAGAGAGACGACACAGATCCCAAAGGCAACCAGCAGCAGTACACGGCAGAGCAGAGACCTGTGCTGGCCCGATCATTAGCATCACCTTGGCTCACCTTTGATTTTGCCCTGATGTGCGTCTGTCTTCATTTTTCTGATTGCTACATTCCTGGCACTTGGGCTGGAGGACTTCAGATGAGAGGTTTATTTTAAACTTTATTTGTGCCTGTCTCCATTCTACTGAGTTGGATATCTTCCTTCAGTAGGTTGTGTGACTTCAACCCTACTTTGTACAAGGCCAAAATGTGACCCTAGTCTCTTCCCTCTTGATACAGCATGAATCAGGGTCTGGGGCATGTATTACCAACATCCCTCTCTGGGCCTTCCTGTTGCCCAGTTAGGGCCCCCAGCCACCATCAGATCATACAGGCCAAACACCAGAGCCTGGGTCTCCTATTCTTGGATCCCTGCTTGGCCCAGGGTATGTGCTCATGGCCCTCCTCAGTTTTCTATCAGAGCCTTCCACAGCTGGAGTGTGTGTGTGTGTTTGTGTGTGTGTGTGTGTGTGTGTGGGTGATGGTCCAGTCTTCAATCTCTACCCTCACGAGCTGTGTTTCCTGGATAAAATAGGCAGATTGAAGGACAAGGGCTGAGCAGGCTCGTCTTTGGCACTGTGCTAAATGTGGAGTTTGTGTCCGGTGTGATCCAGGGTTCGCCTTGCCGCTGCCCAGCATTCTCTGTGTTCTCTGCAGGATGCAACCTGAAGATCTTTAATAATCAGGAGTTTGCTGCCCTGCTGGCTCAGTCTGTCAACCAGGGCTTTGAGGCTGTGTACCAGCTGACGCGAATGTGTACCATCCGCATGAGCTTCGTCAAAGGCTGGGGAGCGGAGTACAGGTCAGTGCCGGGCTGCCTAGAGCTGTAGGGATAAAATTCCAGGCTGTCAGAGTGGAGGCTCCATGGAGATTCACAAACCAAGTATGGGTCGGTGGAGCAGGTCTGGGAAGCGGGGCACAAGGTGGTGGGGATAGACAGCCCCGGATGAACAGGAAGAGAACCCTGTTTGCCTGGGTGCTTGGCAGTTTCTCAGCCCTGTCAACACACATCCCATGCCCTCTTCCCCACAGGTCTGAGAGGTTCCACTGGTCCCCTCTCAGAACTGGGGCCTTAGGCGGGGAAGGGACTTGCCTGAAATCACTTGGTCGGTAGAATGGCTGAGCCTCAAACATGTGCCCTTCTAGTTGCTGCATCCTGTCTTTCTGGCAGATGGGATCTTATCCAGGAAGTCATCACCCCATTTTCTCTCCCCCACACATCTCCCTAGGACTGCATTTCTAACTCAGGGATCTTGGTTAACCCCAAGCATCTAAAGACATGAAAAACAACCATCAAGGAAGGAGATGAGCTAGACCCAATGGCTTATCCCCATAATCCTAGCCTATCAGGGGGCTGAGATCTGAGGATCATGGGTTGAAGCCATCCTGGGGAGGAAAGTCTGTGAGACACTTTACTGAGCCACCAAAAAATCAAAAGTGGAGCTGTAGTTCAAGTGATAGAGCACTAGCTTTGAGTGAAAAGCTAAAGGACAGTATCTAGAACCTGAGTTCAAGCCCCAGTAACAGCACCATCCCCCCCCCCAAAAAAAAAGAGGAGGAGGAGGAAGAGGAGATGGATTTGCGTGGTTATAATACAATAGTTTACTTGTACACATTTTCTTTAAAAAGTTCCAGATCCAGCTTTAAATATGGAGCTGATTGTAGTCGGATCTACCCGGTCCGGTCTGCTTGTTTGAATTGGAACTGGTCTGAACAAAAATTCAGTTCCTTTTCTTGCTGCATGCAGTCAGAAGTTGCCTGAGAGGCGGAGGCAGAGAGCTGTTTGTCCTTCCTTCACGCCTCCTCCTCAGCCCCTGCACAGACAGACAGACAGACGCAGTGGTGCCTTACACGTCGCCTGGAGCCAGCTCCTTCCAAGTTCCCTTTCTTTTCTCTTCATTTTCCCAGATGTTTGGAATCTATTTTGTTTTGCAGTCATTCTTCACCCCAGCCAAACCCATTTCAATATTGGCTCTGGACCACAGCTTATAATAAAAGCCTGATGAATATGGCTTACAGAAAGTCGGGTTCCCATCACAGGATGGTGGTGTGGACATTCTCCTCCTCCATTGACTAGTCTGTAAACTGCTTTCCTTAACCATCTGCCCCAGAGTGCCAGGGAACATTGGCACCTTGGTCTTTGAAGTCTTTTTCTGAAGCCCCAGAAGACCCAGGAAATCAAGTGGTCAGACCCCAGGAGGAACTTACAATCCTCTTGTAATGGGCTGAAGACATTAGCCTAGACCCACAGGTCGAGCTGGGGAATGTCTTTGCTAGCCTTTTCGCCCTGGCTCAATTCACTTAGGGAATGAAGAGTGAAAGGTTAAAAAAATGAGTACTGTTTTGCAGTGTGGAAGGGAAATAGTTCAAAATGCGCCCCCCCTCCCTCCCCGCCAGTGGAAATGAGCCAGGCAAAAACCTATCTGCTTTTGATAATGGAGGCTGAAGCTTGAGGGGGACACCCCTTTATGAGGCAGACACACTTAGGGCTTATTTCTGAACTCTCCCTCTCCTCAGGCCTACCAGGACAGCAGCCCCTGGACCTAGTGTGTCAGCAAAGTGCTAGGAAGAGGTTCTTGGGGATGTCAGAAGCCCTTTTCCTGGGGGTCCACCCAGCCAGCACACCCCGTCCTGTGCAGCTTTACTGCGTCACAGACGCCTGGCAGAGAGGCAGGGCAGCCTAACCAGCGGGTGCGGCCCCTTCCCAGAACAGTCCTGCCCTGGTCCTGTCTCCTGGGCCAAGCAGAGTAAGGTTTCAGCCCGGCACTCTGCTCTGGGAGGAGGCCAGAAATGGCGAGGCCCAGGCCTCTTACCTCCAGCTGGCACGGGGGCCTCCAGCCACAGCGGATAGCCTCTGCTCAGCCCAGGCCTCTGCAAGGCCGCCTGTGAGCTGCGTCACCCCGGGGTTGAAATGCACACAAAGTGCTTTGGGGGAAAAGAAAACGTGTGGTGCGCCTTTAGTGTTTTTCCAGTAATTGTTCCACGGCTAGCCGTACTCTTTCCTCGTAAGATTTTCCAAAATAAGACCGTAGATGGGAATTCTATCAGCACACTGGGAGCTGGAGGCATGTGGGACTTGTTGGTGTTGCATGCACATGCCCGCCATCAGACAGACACGCGTCATCGTGGCCTGAAGGACTGCCCCCCACCTCCAGATTGGATGAGAGGTTGCAGGTGCCCATTGGCCCAGATAAGAACCAAGGAAAGCAGCTCTGCCTTTCTAAGGCAAAGGCTTGTCCCTCTTAACTGGTGGGCCTCATGGACCTGAGCTTGACTTTATATATTTAACGCTTATTGTGTGCTGGTACTAAGGCTTGAACTCAGGGTCCGGGTGCTTCCTTTAGCTTTTCCACTCGAGGCTTGCCACCCCTCCACTTCTGGCTTTTTAGTGGATAATTGGAAGTAAGGGTCTCACTGAGTTTCCTGCCCCTGCTGGTATTGAACTGTGATCCTCCTATCTCAGCCTCCTGAGGAGCTAGGATTACAGGTGTGAGCCACTAGTGCACAGCTGCATTTAACTCTTTTTGTAAAGGCCTTCCTTCTTCCTCCTAAGAGCCCTTGACTTGCTGAAGCTTTGGCCTGGTAATTTTAGGAATCCAAATCTTATCTGTCGTGGGGCAGTGTCTAACATGGTGAGATACTCTTTTGGCTTTGGTAAGGCACCTTATCACTAAAGCAGGAAATGGTATTCTGATGTCTAAAATCCCGTCTCTTCCTGTTTATTTTTCTTTTCAGGAGACAGACAGTGACCAGCACTCCCTGCTGGATTGAGCTACACCTGAATGGGCCTTTGCAGTGGCTTGATAAGGTCCTTACCCAGATGGGATCCCCCAGCATCCGCTGTTCGAGTGTGTCTTAGAGACCCTGGATGTGAAGGGGAGGGAGAAAGGGCAGGCATGGGGGAAAACCGCCATGGAAGAGATGGAGGAATTCAGCACCCGTTCAACTTATTCTCATCAAGGAAGAAAATTCTCTCTCTCAACTAAGGTGGCACAGGCCTGTTCTCTAAAACACAGAAGCAAACCCGGAAATGGGCTTTCATGGACAGCTATGTGTGCTGAATACACGTGCCCTCTACTCTGGTTTGCAAGGCAAGAAATGGCTTCTGCTCACTTGAGCCAACAGGTAGCAGTTTCACCACTGCCCCTCCCCCAGCCTTCTCTTTTAATGACAGTCGTGTGGGATGTCACCATGTCACCAGCTACCAAGAAAGCCCTGTCCTGGATTGCATGTAGAATTCAACCTTGGAGGGTTGTTCCTAAACTCTTTGGCACTTCTGACAAATATCTTCTCAACTAAGCAGGCGCGGCGCGGCCCTCCCTAACCTTGGCAGTGTTGTGCACCTGGTGAACATGGTGGTTTGGGTAAAGGAGGACTTGTCGGGCTCTCTCCCCTCAGAACAGCACAGCACATGTGTTCAGCACAGCACATGTGTTCGGCACAGCAAATGTGTTCGGCACAGCACATGTGTTCAGCAGTGTGTGGAACCATGGTAAAAGTTGGTGAGAGCCATCTCTCTTCTCAAAATGCCCTTTTCCTTTCTCGGTTGGCTTAGTGTCTGGGGTCCTAGGTTCACATTACTCTCAAGATTTGGAGGATGGTAACAGTTCACACAAAGTGTGGGCCGTGGTGGCGGGAGTCATGGGCCAGAGGCAGCAACCACCGAGGGCATCTTGGACGGTCTCCAAGCTCGCACCGTATTCTCATGTATGTGGCTCTGGCGAGTTTCTGTAGCCAGCTGCCTTCATTAAATCAACTGTATCATATGCTGTTTTTTAAGCGTTTATATTATAAACAAAATAGGCACCCCTCAGCATCTTGACTGGGGAAATTAAGAGCCAGATCAGTAACTCTTGTCTCCCCAAGGTGAGGCATTTCCAGGTTCTGCCAGCACTTTTGGAAGCTGAAATTTACAGAAGCAAACTCACCAGAAGGGAAAGAGCTCAGGTGAATGAAAAGGGCTATTAAAGAAAAAAAACCAAAAAACACTTATTTCACCTTTGAAAACTTCGAGCATGGTACAAAAGGGACCTGTCATCTTCACCCTGGGATGTAAGTTCTCTTGCTTCTGGTAGAGAATCATCAGTGACAACTGATGATTACCAGTGGTAATAAGGGAGAAAACTAGTATAAATTATTTCAACTGGAAAAACAAAAATAAAAAGGAGACCTCCTCTTTTCCTGGCCTTCAGCAGAATACAGCACACAGGATTGCTTCTTCTTTGCTGCTGTTTGTGTGAATTGAATGATTTATCCCACCTTTTTTTGGACAGGGGGGGGGCATGGATTTATCCCAGGAAAAAGGACTTCACAGGATTTCCTATAAAGTCCTATCTTACTCTAGGGGAAGGAAGGAATGTGTCTACTTTTCAACAGGTTTGGGAACCTCCAATGTGATGACATTGCTGATGCTCTATGAAGATGCTGGGGAACATTAACTGGGGAGATTTCTGGTTAGCAGAGCTGCTCCCCAACCCTCTGGAATAGCCAGGAAGAGAAGGAAGGAATCCCTTACCTCTTCTGAGTCTCCCTGAAGGCTGCCAATACACGTTCTCTGAGAGGTCTACATGCCACAGTGTGAAGTTTGAGTTTGCCTTGGAATGGTCTGTGGACTGTTTGCAGATTAGGGACCCCCCCCCGGACATTCACACCCCCCAGTCAGCTCTGAGATCTGGGGCAGAATTCCAATGGTGGCTCTGTCTCTGTTCTAAAAGCCAGGGGCAATGGTTTCTGAGTGGCTTGATTTCTGCACCTGCTACAGGGTCTTTCCCAGGCGGCTTCCGTGGCACACTTGCTATAGCCCACTGGGTGGCCCAGTGTGGCTGAATGTGGATGGTGTCTTTCCATTTTCAATGCTCAAACTGTCTGCCTGTTTCAAAGGGGCCTGAAGTTGAGGGTGTCTCAACTAGCTTCAAGGCTATTTCTTAACCTTTTTTTCCTTTGCAAGCTATCCAAGGAGGATGTGAAGAAATGGTAGGCAGGTTTCTCCCTTTGGCAACCCTGAAATTTAATTTGGGCATGAGGTTAGAAGGTAGTGCTATTTCCGTCATGGACCACAACATAGGTCTTTTAGGACCAAGTACTATCATTGGCCTTCTTAAGTCATAAAACCAGTTTTCTTAGTTTAAAAGCCTGTATGAATGACACTTAGTCATGTAAAACAAAAGGACAATTGAAGTGGAAAAGAGGACATTGGGACAGTTTCAAACAGATCGTTCAGCAGTTTTGTTATTTGCTGGTATTAGGGCTTGAACTCAGGGTCATGCACTGTCCCTTATGTTTTTTGCTCAAGGCTGGAGCTCTACCACTTGAGCCACACCTCCATTTCTAGCTTTTTTTTTGGGTGATTAATTGGAAACAGTTTGACTTTTCTGCCTGGGTTGGCTTTAAACCTTGATCCTCAGATCTCAGCTTCCTGAATAGCTAGCTAGGTGTGAGTCACCAGCATCTAACTCAGCCATTTTAAGCATGGTGTGACCCTGTGTGCTGTCTCCTGCCCCAGGCTTCTGCCCAGTATCTTCATCTTGTGGCTTGTGCTGACACTAAACCATATCCCTAGCACTGGGCAGAGAACCTTGTTCTCAGCACCTCTCCAAGAGCCAACTGTCTCTTTCCTGTTCTCTGCCCCTTCCTTCCCAAGTTAATTTCATCACTCAAACCCGTCCAGTGTGTACGCAGGTAGCGGCCCAAGTCGGTGTGGGTTACGGGTCTGTGCTGACAACCTTCCCAGCTCGGCTGCAGACAGCCTGGCATTTCCAGACAAGCCTGAAGTCAGAAGCGGGGACAGTGACCTTTATGAAGAGCCTACAAGGGTGAGACCTCTGGGCAGGCTTCGCCATTGACCTGCTGGTGTCTCAAGTTGTGATTCTTTTCTGAAATTGTTAATGGGCTGAAGGATGCTATAGCATATTTTGTGTGCTTTGGTTTGTCTTCATCTCCCCTTGGCTTCCTCATTTGGACCTATTCCAGAGATACTTTTTTCCCCCTCAAATCACAAGTTTTCTATAAGTGTGTGGCACACATGTGTGAGCTGTCTGGTTTCACACTGAGTCCTGGAGCTGCCATTCCTGAGGCTCCAGGACTGTCTCCTTAATCCTTAAAAGGAGAGACTGGCCAAGAGAACTGCAGGCTGCTATGGGCTTGTTTACCAAGGAGGCTGCTGGAGATGGCACAGATCTAGCTCTGGCCTGTTCTGTCTGAAATTGGGTTTCTTCGCTTCTGCGTGTCTCCAGGAGAAAACTTAACAACGGCCAGGTTGGCGCTGTTTCTCTATGTGGCACCAGCGTTTCCTCATTGGACCCCTTCAAGTCATGTCTGCACAATGGACGGAGTTGCTTAAGGAGTGCCAGACACTTCCCAAATGGACAAAAGGCAAATGTCTGTTAGAGAACTATCTGTGATGGGGGGTGAGGTGTGACCATCAGAGGAGATGGCAGAACACACAGACACTGTTCAAACCACCTCGTAAGACTCACCTCACGTGTAAACTGGATTGACACTCAAGTGACCCTGTAATTGATCTTTTTTTTTTTTTTAAAGTGTTGCTGTATACTCTAGCATCCTGGTGTTTTTATATATTTATGTAATAATTTCTTAAAACCATTCTGACAGATAACTATTTAATTTTTTTTTTTAAGACAGTTGGGAAGACCTCCTAAGGGCAGGGGCTGGAAGAGCTTTGCAGAGCTGGTTCTGAGTGTTTGGTGGAGGGTGTAAAGGCATTTTTTTTTTTTTTGGCCTAGCATCCAAAACACCAGACCAGGCTGAGCCAAGTGGCAGTGCGTAGGCACGCATGGTTCTGAATGGAAGCAAAGCCCCTCTCTCCCTGGGGTCCCAACTTCACTGAAGTGGAGCTGTCTTTAGCCAAGTTGCCCTCAAATAGCCCTTCCTGCCGTCATGGTAGACAGGCTGATATGGACTCTTTACGTTTTGTGTTGGGGGCAGGATGAGAATGTGGGAATTGTGGATAACCCTCACTATTCAGCCAGCTTGGCCTTTGGATACCTTTGTAAAAAGCATGTATGTATTTATAGTGTTTTAGATTTTTCTAACTTTTGTATTTTAAAAGCAGAGCACCTGTTTGTCTAAGCATCTTACCCCAACTGTTAAAGAGTTGCATCCTCTCCCCCCACCCCCACCCCCACCTCTTCCTCTTGTAAGTGCCCTTCTAATAAACGTCATTGGAAAGCTTCTGGGTCTGGAGCTCAGCCTGTGTCTTTTTTTGATGCTGGTACTGGGGCTTGAACTTTGGGCTTGGGCCCTGTCCCTTTTCTATTTAAGGCTAGTGATCTACCTTTTGAGCCACAGTGATACTTTCAGTCTTTGTTGCCCCGCATTGTATTTTTTACCCCTGGCTTCTTTTACTTACACTCTTCCCCCAGCCCCAGCACAAGGCTTTGTGCTTGTTTGGATTCTTGCTCAGCTGGTGTTCTACTCGAGCCACACACTTCCAACCCTGCTTTTGGTTGGTTATTGGAGACGGATGGCTTGCAGACATCTCTGCCCAAGTTGGCATCAAACTATGATCCTCTACATCTCAGTCTCCTTAATAGTGAGTACAGGCATGAGCCACTGGGGCCTGGCTCCCTTTCCATCTTTTTTTTTTTTTTGCTGAATAAATGAACCATTAATGTCTGGTCTGGTGAATTCTACCTTAGCCAATACTGTGTGTTAATTTCCACTCTGCTTGGATTTTTAAGTCCTTTTATATAATTAGAGGAATGTCATCAAAATGCAACTCCTGGTTGCCTTTTATTAGGGCTATTCTAAAATTTGAATGTGTTCCCCTTTAGTGCAGGAATAGCAAATTGTGCCCAAATTACCATAATTATCTGTATTGCTGCTTATGACAAACCTCATGAATCACAGTGATAGATCATGTCTGCCTACCTCCCCATCCAACCCTCTGAACTCAGCTACCTGATCAGGCAGAAACTTGACAATGCTACCAAAACAGTGAGGCTCCATGAAGTCCTCCAAAGGGGAGAAGGCCTCTGCCCTGGGCCTTAGGTTTCAAGTTCATGTCACAAGGATGGATGGAAGGAGGGAAGGAAATGAAGGGAAGGAAATGAAGGGAAGGAAGGAAATAATTTTAGGACACATCAAGACCAAGGGGAAGGTGGCTCAGTGGTAGAGGCTTGCCTTGCATGCCTGAGGCCCTGGGTTCGATTCCTCAGCACCACATAAGCAAAAAGAAAAAAGCCGGAAGTGGCGCCGTGGCTCAAGTGGTAGAGTGCTAGCCTTGAGCTGAAGAGCTGAAGGACAGTGCCCAGGCCCAGAGTTCAGGCCCCACGACCGGACCCCCCCCCAAAAAAAAAAAACAGTTTAGTAAAGAAGACAAAAAAGCACAATATCTACCCAAGCACGAGTTCAGGCAAATCTGGTAACAGATGCAATCAATATTCAGATATTTATGGTGAAAAAGTGAGCTGGGGGTTTGACCGAAAGTCATGTTGGGAAAAATTAACCCCTTTATTCTTCTGTTACAGTTTTATCATTTGGTCTGTTTATCAAACTTGGATCATTAAGACACCAGTATCTGAGCATTTCTTTAAAAAACTGGTTCTACCAGGTGCTCTCTTCAAGAGAAGTGACTATCTAGGAGACGCTTTCCTTTGTAAACATTTTTATGATCAGACTTATTTCCCAAATGGTTTTTCTCACGATGTGAGTCTTTAAGATATTCTTGTTCACGTCCCAGAATATATGATTTGGGTAAGTAGGCGAGGCCGAGGGAGAGCCGCTTCTCTTTTGTACTATAGTTGCTGCTCGGTGAGGAAGTGTGAAGCATTAAAGCCAAGACAGCAATGTCTGTGGCTTTTTAGTCAAGCTGTTGGGCTAACATAGTGTTTCTCTGTGAATTCCTGGCTCCCGTGTCCTTGCCTCATTTTCCCTGATCTGCCCTGCCTCAAAAGCCTGCTGCTATATTTTCTCAGAATGTGATTGTGTGTGTATGGGGGTAAGGGGTGCCTTTCTGCGCAAAACCCTTTGGCTCTTCAATCAAGTCCTTGTGGAGCAGGTGCAAACTCTACATGGTGTTTCAAGGTCTTCCTCCTACCAACCTTTCAACAATTTGAGGTCTCCTAATGTACCTACTGCTTTCTGATTCCCGTAACTGTTCATATCATGACTTTCCACTTACTCATCTGCCCAACTTTTCCCTCTCTCCTTTCAGCTCCACTCAAGCATTACTTCCCCTCAGTCTCTAGTTCTGGGTTGTGTCCTTGATTCAGTATCACTTGGGTCTAGAAGTGCAAATGATCAGGCCCCACCCCAAACTAATCAGAAACATCCGGGTGTCTCGATATGGATTCATTTGAGAACCACTACTCATGCTCTGTGCTCAGTACCCGATTCTTGTTATCCCATAGTCACTCTACTTTGCACATACTGCCTGGCTTCCTGTCCTTTGTGACCTTGGCTGGCATGTCTCCTATTGCCACCTCAATTGGACTCTGAGCTCCCTGCAAAGAGAAACTATATGTTCAAGTCTATATCCTCTGCTATGATCACTCTGCGTCTGACACAAGCTTCACAGTATTGGCTGACCCCTGAATTCTTGTATTAAGCCATCTTACTATTAATGACATCCTGGGAAGTTTTTAGGGAAGCACAAATGGTACAAGCCATGTCCTTGAACTTCAGATTAAAAAAAGAATCTTAGCCAGGTGCTGGTGGCTCACGCCTGTCATCCTAACTACTCAGGAGGCTGAGATCTGAGGATCAAGGGTTTGAAGTCAGCCCAGGCAGGAAAGTCCATGCAACTGCCATCTCCAATTAACCACCAGAAAACCAAAAGTGGCACTGTGATTCAAAGTGGTAGGCTACTAGCCTTGAGTAGAGACAGTTCAGACACAGCACCCAGGCCCTGAGTTCCAGCCCCATGATTGACAACAAAACAAAACAAAAATGCTCTTTTCCAAACACTGTTTCCTTCAAGCACCTTCCCCTGGCTCACTGAGCTTGAGTCTTTACAGCATTAAATCCTCCTGCTTGATAACAGCAACAATCATTAGTCATTTCATCAGACAGTAGCTGGGGCCATCCTTGCTAGAAGCTGTTTTGTGGGGTGGGGGGCTTTATATGACCTGCTGTGTTGCTCAAGTTCTTTGTTAAAGGCAGAGAGTATTTGGGCCATTAATAGGCAATACATAATTGCGGCTCAAGCCTGTAATTCCAGCACTCAGGAAGCTAAGGCAAATGGATCTCTAGTTCAAGCCCAGTCTGGCTAAATAGTGAGACTGTCTCAAAAAAAACACCCAGATACCACACAAGGGTTGTAGAAAAATGTTCTTTTCTTTTCCCCCCAAGCCTGTGTTCCAAGGATGTAGTAATAACTATTATGGCCAGGCTCTGAGTCAATACTTGCCCGAAAGGAAACAAAGTAGAACTGTAAATCACTGAAGAGTTGGAATGGGGCTCAGTAATGTTCCGAGAACAGGCCCCAAATACTGCTGTTTCTGCTTCAGTTGTGGAAAAGAAAAACTACAGGGGGTGATCCTGCAAACCAGAGAAGCTAAACTTAGAACCAAGCAAGATACTTGTGACACTAGAAGAACTAGCTCTGAGAAAACTTCACAAAGAACAAGACCTGTGGTGTTTGTAAACGCCTAAGCAATGGCAAAATCTGAAATCCAGAAAACTTCTAAGTCCCTCCTGCAAGTGGAATCCAAACCCCAAACCTGAATTCTGCTCATCTGATTTAGATGTAACATACAAATTACAGGGAAAAGTTCAATAGGGTGTTATTTTCAAACCAAGCTAAGCTACTGGGTTCAGGGCACTTGTTCTACCTATAGTCAGTCCTCCAATGTGGTTTGTATTTAATGATTCAATGCTGGAGTTCAACTGTCAAATATAAGGTAGAGGGTGTGAAGAATAAATCTCCTATCAGAACGTTCACTGAAGCTTGTCTACATCCATTAGATGTCTGATGAATCAGAACCCTGACCACACCAGATACATGTTTGCTAAATTTAGTTTTGCATTAGCAAACACTCAAGCTCAGAATAGTCCACAGAACTCTCATCTTACCCTTAGACAGTGGTTCTCCTAAGACTGTTTTCCACCCTGGCCAAACTGGCTAAGGCAGCTCTAAGCCATTGTTAGAGGCTGGCCCAATGCTTAAAGGAAGCTGACAAGCCATGCAAAAAATAACCCAAACCAAATCAAACCATACTGAAAAACATTTATCCCCACCTCTCCACAATGGGAGCATGAAATCAGCCATGGATCCCATTTCACGTGTTAGAAGTCGTCTGCAGGAGTGGCCTGACGCCTTCCATGGCCCTTGAACCACATCCCACATTACTCAGCCAAAGTAAGTCTAGCTTCCCTGAACCTCTAGCTTCTCTCAAACCGATGTGGCCAACATCTATAAATAGAGCAAGCAAACTGGTTCTGTCAATCTTCTCATACTCTGGCAGGACAGTGTATTTTACAATTATAAAAATATGTATGTCTTCATCACTATAAAATTATTACATAACCCATGACTTTCTCTAGGGGAAGAGGTTTATTCATGTCTCTCTGTACCTTCCAATATTTGTGGATCTTCAGACTTGGTTATATTCACAAAACATGAGCCATGCCTTCCAAGTGTCAAGCACTGTGCTAGGCACAAAGAGAAATGTTTGAAAGAAAACATGCCTTCTTACCTTAAATCCAAGCTGGAAGCCAGGTGCTGATGGCTCACAACTGTAACCCTAGCTACTCAGGAGACTGAGATCTGAGGACTGTGTTCAAAGCCCACCCAGGCAGACAAAACTGTGAGACTGTTAACTCCAATTTACCAACAATAAAAACACAAGCAGAGGTATGGCTCAGTGCCAGCTTTGAGCAGAAAAGCTAGGGAATAACACACAGGCCTTGGTTTCAAGCCCCAGGTTTGTTGTTGTTTTTTTAAATCCAAGCTGGATGGGTTAAATTTGTACGACATGTGCACAGGTCACTTTACAGAGGCTGCAGTGGTTACTAAATTGCTCTGGCTCAAGATCACTCTTCTGAACACTCATTCTTCCCTGAGGTGTCACCCCAGAAAGCTGAGGTCTTAAAACTGCTTAGTAGATGCCGGGAGCCAGTGACTCAACGCCTGTAATCCTAGCTACTTAGGAGGCTGAGATCTGAGGATTTCAGTTCAAAGCCGCCCAGGCAGGGAAGTCCGTGAGACTCTTAGCTCCAATTAACCACCAGAAAATGGGAAGTGGCGCTGTGGCTCATGTGGCAGAGTACTAGCCTTGAGCTGAAAAGCTCAGGGACAGTGCCCAGACCCAGAGTTCAAGACTCACAACCAACAACAACAACAATAAAAATGTGAGGGGACTGGAACTAGTGAGTTTCACAATCTGGTTACCTCCACTGTGTATATCTAATCCTTTGGAGGCTTCTCCCACCCCACCCTCTACCAGAAAACAACAGAAGCAAAACAATACACATCGGCAGGCTTTACAAATTAAGTCACATTTTAATTTGGCAAATCTACCAAATCAAGTTCACAGCTATTTTTTTTTTTTAGGCTGTTTCTCCCAACCATGTGACCTACTACATTCTCTAAAGCCTTCCGTGTTTTAAGGAAAGCATGTTCCACCTTTCTGGTTAACCCAGAGCCAAAATTTATCAACTTAGAGAAACGCAGTCATCTCTGAGACATCAATCAACTGACAGAACACTGGAGAACCTGACCAGACCTTGGTGGGGAGGGGCAAAGGCCATCCCATTGCTACCAGGCATGCTTAGCCACTGAATGGCCACCTCCATATGGGTCTGGAAGCCCCACTCGCACACACCTGTCTCAGGTGCCGCCACAGTGATTGTCACGGGGTGCCCAGAGCAGGTGTGGAGCTTATTTCTGCTCGTGGTCTATCTACCCTGGCTCTCTCCCTGCTAAGAGAATGGGTTCAGAGCCCACACAAGGCTAGAACCAGTTCTCAGCCTGGGTGCCAGCACCATCCATTTATGAAGCCGGGCCTGGTTAGAGCCAAAGCAGTAACTACCACAAAGGAGGTAACGACTTGCATTACAAGTGTCACCTGAGATGGAAACAAGGATTTTATCTGTGGCACTTTCTACTGGTCTTTAACGTTTTTCCTTTTTGAGATGAGTTTCTCTGGGGCTGACCCAAACAGGACACAGGGTAAAGAACCAAGGGGACTCCCTCGGGGGCAGCTCTGAAAGGCGGAGAGCAGCCAGCAGCCCTGGGAGTAAAACGAGGTGCTCAAGACTGTGCTGCCTAGCGTGGCACGCCCTCTCCCACCGCTCTGTGCTACTATTTTGGCAATCATCTCTGTTTGGCTTTCAGACAGGAAGAGGGGACACTTGCCTAGTGCTCAGGACTTCAAGTGTGACAGCACAGCTCTGACATCTCAAATGGTCAAGGAGAAGGCTCAGGCAGGCGAGGTCTTCACCATAATTTCACCACAAGCTCAGTAATGAGTGCTCACTGTTTCCCCAAGGATACCCCTGGGTCTTCTTTCTCTCACTCCCAGCCCTCCGCCCTTGCAGCAATTCAGTAGAGGGTTTGTTTTAGCCCCACCACAGCAGGAAACCTTTGCCTCACTTTACAGTCTAAAAATACGCAGTGGTTTTTTTTCAATTCTTTGTAGCCTGAGCTCAGACACTTCAAAAGAAATGCCCAAAGCATTGTTTTTGGTTGGAGACAAATCTGTGGGCCACTGAGTGTGGCTGCCTCACACCTCCTTTATTCCCCCCAAAGCGTCACAGCTCAAGGTGCAATCTCCGTGAATGGGAACCAAATCTCCCACCAAGGAAAAACTGCTCACAGTTGTTCGCAATTAAACGCGAATGTGGGAATGCTAAAAAAAAAAGCTGGCAGGAATGACTGGAATGAACTCGCAGACCTCCGAGATTCATTCTACTCCCATTCCTAAAACAAAAACAGCCTTTGAGAAACTTTCACGTTATTCTCAGTTATTCTCATCGCGTATACTTCTCATTCCCTTCCGCGGAAAAAGAAAAGATTTTTAATTCCCTAGTCAAGGCTAAAATCAAGGGGCCCCTAAAAACTAGGCAGGCGGCCAACATGTGAGTAGAATCTTGGCCAATTATGACTGGCTTGAGCAGGGCTGAGTCCCAGGTGAAGAATGCTGAGCATCTGTTAGTCAAACCTAGCAGAGATAACTTAGTGCTCTTCATCGGAAGAAAGGCCCTCAATTTCATCTCTGTCTCCCCCGATTGCCATCCAGAATGCTTTGGCCACCTGTGGAGAGAAGCATGCAACAAGTTTTAGGCAACATCTGCTTCCTAATTTTTGGCTCATTTCATACATCATACCTTGAGCTCAATGAAGTCTAAAAGTCTCTCCAGCAACATGTATCAAAACCCTTAAGTACCTTTGACCCAGGATGGCCACATCTGCAGCATTACTAGAGACATGATTAGAGTTACATACAAATAAGACGGGTAAGGACATGCATAGCTCCATTACAAAGCATCAAGAAAACACATATTATGGGCCTAAATGTCTAAAAGTGAACTAGATAAATTTCAACCATCATATAATGGAATACCATTCACTAACAGCGTAAGTTTCCTGTCAAGAATACGTGCTACTATGGTAATAATAAACCACAGCAACTAAGAGTGGTCCAGCTCCAGAGTCAGAAAGTCAGACAGCTTTCTCAATGAAGCTCTCAGTGTAAGTTAACATACATTTGAGACATCTTAGTTTGATTTCCATAACTGTATTACTGCTGTGTTTGACTAGGTCTAAGTTACTGTCCAATGAAAAGCTTATGCAAAAAGGCTTCAGAAGTACACACATGTGATAGGTAATTATATTATGAAAGCACTGGGGCTTTTATAGATACTCAATAAATACCTGACTGATTATCTCACCTTTTCTGCATGCAACTTTCTTTGCTCATGAGGAAGCGTCGCAGCTTTGTCTAGGGGAAAAATATATCTTAAGAAATTTGTCGAATAGCAACTGAGAGTCTGGGATGTATGGATGTTCTAACACTAGAAGACGGGAGATGGGTTTCAAAGACACACGCTTATGGCATAATCATTGCAGCTATTAAGAAGCTCAGTCTCCCAAATTTGCCAGATGGGAATGATGTGAATAAAATGGTGGGGTCTTACAGATGCTGTGTTAATGAGATACTGAAAGAAAGAGGGAGGGGGACTCAAGAAGAAGGGAAAGGAAGAGGAGAGAGAATGAAGAAAGGGAATTTTCCCTGGGAGATTTTTTTTTTTTTAAACAACAGAAGATGAGACAGTCCCAAGTAGGAAAGTTTTCTAAGACATTTGAAACAAGAACTCAGAATCCAATCTAGCAGTTGCAGAATAAGATCCCACTACATAAAATAGATGGATATCAAGATGCGAATAGGTTTGACACATGGAACTGATTACCTTTCATTTCCTTTAACTTTGAAAATAGTCTCTCAAAATTCTCCAAATCTCCCCCTCCAGTGGTAAGACTGGCTAATTCTTGAATATCCAAATCTAACATGGGATCTGAAATAACAATTTGTCACAAGTTATTTATATATGTGCACTACATACACATATACATATAGGTATATCTATATACATAAACACATATATAAACACACACACATATGTTATGGCTTTTTTGGTAACTCAGTGGAGATAAAAGTCTCATGGGCCCAGTACTGGTGGCTCACGCCTATAATTCTAGCTACTTAGGAGGCTGAGATATAAGGATTATGGTTCAAAGCCAGCCTGGGCAGAAAAGTCCCTGAGACTCTTATCTTCAATAACCTAAGAAGTGGCACTGTGGCTCAAGTGGCAGAGTGCTATCCTTGAGGACAGGAAGTTTAGGAACAGTGCCCAAGCCATGAGTTCAAGCCCCAGGACAAAAAAAAAAAAAAAAAAAAAAGTCTCATTGACTTCCCTGCCTGGGCTGGCTCAGAGCCTGGGATCCTGAGTAGCTAGGATAACAGGTATGGAGCCACTGGCTCCAGCCCAGCACCTTTAGAGTGTCCTCCTTGACCAACCCAGGTCCCAGGCCCCCTTCCTGAGAGTACCTTCCACACTGACAGTTCATGATGCTGTCCCAGCACCTGCATAGGATCCACCCAGTGCTTCTGAGAACAATGAGCAATGAAAATGGGCTTGAATACCTGCACCGTTGACTGCTCTAACTTCATCTTTACAATGACCCAGGAGGACAGACTTGTTATCTCTCCTTTACAGAAGAGGAAACTACTAAAGGCAGCGGAATGTACTCAGGTCATATCTACTAGCAGTAGAGCCACAATTTGAGCCCATAATCTTAAGTTACATCAAACTCTAGAGCTCATGACCTTGACCGCAAGTCCTCTCTTTAGACTTGGACTATGAGTTCCTGGATGACAAAGGTGATGACAATTCTTTGCATCTTACCACAATGCCATACAGATAATTTGACATTTAACGTGCATTCTGGTTAATATTGCAGAACTCAAGCTAAAATTTGTAGTAATTAAGTTGTAGCTGGTACTAGAATTTGAACTCTAGGCCTCGGCTTGCTTCCTCAGCTAGTGCTCTACCACTTGAGCCACGCCTCCAGCTGAGATTTTCTTTTTCTGGAGGTAAGAGTCTCACAACTTTTCTGCCTAGGCTGGCCTTGAACTTCTGTCTTCTGGATCTCAGCCTACTAAGATGTAAACCACTGTCACATGGCTCTAGTTCTTATTAGAGAATGTTTTTTAGAAATCAAGATCTGAGTGCTAAGCATATTCACTGCCATTGGGGTACTGCTGCTACCGGATTGCTCAGTGGACAAACTAAGATATATGCGTGTGTGTATACTAATACACGCACTCTCACTTTCTAGATGCATGTCCCTATTGCCCTAATTATAGGGCACATTTAAAAAAAATTTTAGCAATTTTTTATTGGGATTAAGTGATTACATAAATTTTATAGTATTGTGGGGTACTGATACTTAGTTAAAGTAACAAACACATTCTAACCTTCATGAGGCAAATTGTCTTTATCATGGTCTATAAAGTTTATGAGTTCTATGAGCTTCGACAATACAGTTATTTCTTCCATGTCGGGTGAAATGTACATTTCTTTCCTTTTGCTTAGTTCAGCTGTTCTATAGGGCACATTTTTTTAAAGAAGAATGAGTTCATACATATAGATTCCAGTATCAAAGGGTCCATTCTAGCCTTCCCCTCTTTATTAGTAATTTCTTCCTCTGAAAATAAAGAAACCTACTTCATTATCTGGAATATATTTTCTTCTTTTTTAATACTTACTGATTAATTTATTGGCTGTGCTGGTACTGGGACTTGAACTCAGGGCCAGAGCCTAGGTGATGCCATTTAGCTTTCTGGCTCAAGGCAGGCACCCTACCACTTGAACCACAGCTCCATTTCTGGTTTTTTTTTTGCTGGTTAATTGGATATAAGAATCTCACAGACTTTCCTGCCTAGGCTGGCTTCAAAGCACAATCCTCGTCTCTCAGCTTCTTGAGTAGCTAGGATTACAGCTGTGAGCCACCAGTGCCTGGATCAACAAATATTTATATATACTTTCCGAATTGCTAGCTGATGTCCCTATGAGAAAGAAATTTACTAATGAGAGTTCAGGATTCCCGCTGCTCCTCTGCTTTTAAGGTTAGGATATCGAGTCTAGGAGATGTTTCTAAAGTAGCTTGGTTTGCTCCTGTCCTCACCATGCTCTCTTCTGTGTGGTTAATAATTTGTCTTAATGGCAGAAACTTCAGCAGGTTTTAAAATCCAATATCGTGAGGACTCAACTGAGATGGAAGGTGAAGAGAGATTATATACATACAATTATTCACCTTTTATGTTTCTACAACAATCACCTGAGCTTTCTAAATGGATTATCTTATAACCAGAAAAAAAATTTAAAAGTTATCACTGCATTTGAGCTGTAGCAGCATAGCAATGAGCAGAAATATCAGCAGTTTCCCAGCAAAACAACAGGAGCCCTGGCTTTTGGAAGCACAATGGATTCCAGCTTCAGCTCCCCATGCTTCCTGTCATTGGGCAGGTTATTAAATTGCTCTAGCTTTCAAGGTCATCTCTGATAGAGCTGCTCCACTCAACATCATTACCACATGAGAAAGTGGATGCATAAGAACTTTAAAAGGATGCGAGAGGGCCGAGAAAGGTGCATTATTCTTGTCACTGCCAATACGGACTATTAAATACTATGGAAAAAACCCCCAGTGATTACAGATACTAAAGCTGTTTCACCACCTGGTTCTGCCATGACTAAGATGATCTGAATCAAGATGTGCTGAGGAAAATCAAGGAAGAACCAGCAGTTATGTATTTATTATTATTATTCCCTTATCTGATCACCATGGGCAAGGACTCACATTCACTTGGGATACACAGTCCATTTTCTTCCCTTCTCCATGTTTAAAGCCTGCACTCTCCGAACCCTCACCTCCCCCAACCTCCCCCCGCCCCCAAATTCCTGCCTGTTATTTATGGCCACCATTATCTCTGTGGCCATAGAAGGAGCTTACCCACAATGCTGTCCACCTGGGCTTCTGCTGTGCTACTTGCACCCCGCTGCCCCAGGACAGAGTCTGTCCTCTCTGATGCTGGCAAATGAGGCTGCTGGAAAGGAAAAGACGCAGAAGCCACAAATTAATAGTGGGCTACTGCAGAGATAATACAAAAAGACTCACACTGGCTGGCTAGAGAGAAGTAGTATACAGTTAAAGGCAAGAAGGAGCAAGATCACATTTAAACATAAAAGGCACTCAAAGCTGGTGGCTCACACCTGTAATGCTAGCTACTCAGGAGGCTGAGCTCTGAGGATTGTGGGTGGAAGCCTGCTGGAGTGACTCTTACCTCCAATTCGCTACAAGAAAACTGGAAGTGGCAGTGAGGCTCAAGTGGTAGAGTACTTGCCTTGAGTGAAAAAGCTCAAGTACAGCACCCAGGCCCTGAGTTCAAGCCCTACAACTGACAAAAAAAAAAAAAAAAGTCACTAATTGGTGAGTATTCTTCCCCAGGGGGGAAAAAGGCTAAGAAGTGTGACAATTTTGCTACATGAAAACATGGTTTTGTGTGCATAATTTAAGATCCATAGTGAAAATGCACATCCAACACAAGCAGCTTTCATCAGAGGCTGATGGTAAAGACCCTTGGAAGGACAGCATGCCACAGCATTGCTCCTGGCTCTGGCACCGCTCCCGGCTCCAGCTTGCTAAGCCAGGTGAACCTGCACCTGAGACCTGAGCACAGATGGTGAAACAGCACTGTCGGCTCATGATGTCCCAACAGTTTGGGACAAGCCTTTATACCCAAGAAGTACTCAAAGAACGGCTACCAATTTCATTTCCTACTTAAGATCTGGCGCCCAAGTTTATGCTCCCTGGAAACCCTACTGTATTTCAAAAAGGTATCTAAGCAAAAAAAAACACAGGCCAGCTCCAACTGTAGATCTCTTGAAAGGGCTGACTCCTTTTGCAGGGCTAAACTAGCCTTCTCTTAACCAGAGCCAGTGGTACAGGGCTATTTTACATTCTTCTGTCATCTACTTTTAATACTGCCTGCCTCTTAAGTAGAAAAGAAAAAAAAATAGAAGAAAAACAAAAAAAAGAATAGAAGAAAGTGTAAAGATTCATAATGGCAAGGAGAAATTAAAGCTAAAGAGGAGACAAGATCCAAGAAAATCTTTACCTCTGAGTGACAGGTCTCCACTGACCCAATGCTATGGTTTGTTCCAGCCAATGAGTTGAGAAGGCTAAAGCCCTGGTTCCTATCTGAAAAGAGAAGAAAAAAAAAAAAAAACTCAAAACAAAAAAACAGTCACTGAATCTTCTAATTTACATTTTGCTTTTCTTTTCCCCCCCAAGTATTGGGTTTGAATCCAGGGCCTCAAGCTTGACTATGCAAGCGTCAATCACTTGAGTTATGCCCATAGCTGTCATTTACATTTTAAGTTATTAAAATTAGCCTAATTACTGTAGCCTATGCCTATAATCTTAGCTACTTAGGGGGCTGTCTGTGAAGAGAGTCTGTGAGACTCTTCAATTAATTGGCAAAAAGCTGGTCAGGAGTCATGAGTAAAAGCCAAACGAGACACTGAGGCCTGGAATTCAAGTCACTGTATCATCACACACACACACACACACACACACACACACACACACACACACACACA